GCTGTCACTCACCAGAACAATAAAAAGAAGTAATTTACAATAACGAAGAATGGAGAACACATTCATTGAACGAAATCAAACACCACAGAAAATGAGTGTTTTTAAAGAAGTTCCTCGAGAGTCTACTGCAGAAAAAAGAAGACGTGTTTTTGAAACGATGATTTCAGGATTTAAAGAAATCAACTCATCAAGAAAAGGAAAAAAACAACATACCACTGGGAGTTCTAATCTTTGTGAATGTCCTATCATTGAAATTCCTCCTAATCCTTTTGATATTAATTTTGAATCAAAAGTTCCATCTAAAAGTTGTTTTGTTCCTTCTACAGAAACCTCAACTGAACATTCTGGAAGTACAAATAGAACATTAATTACTTCAACATCATATAGGTCAGAATTTGATAGGAATAGAATTCAACAAATAGAAATTGATAGAAATCAAGAATTTTTTATTGGAAGAGCTTCTAAAACACCAGAAAGATATATTTATATTAGAAATGCTATTGTTGATCTTTGGAATAAAGAAAAACCAAAATATGTAAGTAAGACAATGGTAAGACATCAAATTAAAGATTGTGGTGATGTTAATTGTATAGGAAGAATTCATACATTTTTAGAACAAATGCAATGGATTAATTATGGTAAAGTAACAGGTAAATATATTCGAACACAACAAAAATTAAGACAACCAGAAACTATTCCTTTAAAAGATAATACTCATGTTATTATTTGTGGAAGTGCATTATTGGTATTAGACATTCATTGTAGATTAATAGAAAATCCAGTTGGATTAGTAGTTGGAAAACAAGTAACACCACTTCTATTTATTATTGAAGATATGGTTCCAATTGGAGTAGGGAAATGTGAATTACCAGAAGATACTAAAGTTATTGGAGTATATTATGATGAAACCAATCATTTTCCATATTATTTAGAAGCAAGTTATCCATTTTGGATATTACGTTTAGTATGGAAAAAACAAAATAAAAGTTTTAATGTTATAAGAAAAGATAGACAAGTTGAAGTTGGAGTAGTTGAAATTGTAAAAAAAGAAGAAGTAAAGAAAACATATCAAATATCACCAGTATTTAATTCTATTATTAATACATATTTAAATACTAATTATGTTACTAATGAATTTATATAAAATTAAAATAATAAATTATTCTATAAAAACATATAACATTCTATCAACAACAATTATTATTCATTCATTTAAAGAATTATTAAATGATAGTTCAACATTCTCTTATTATTTAATTAATTCTTTCTTTATTTTCTTAAAATTTTTATTTATTTAATTAAATTTAACACAAAAGAATAACTTAATTATTAAAATTTTATTATTTCTTTCTTGGTTCCAAAATGATAGAAATACGATACAACAAATCTTCTGGAAGAGATGTCAATTGTTGAAGATAACCATTTAAAGGTTGAACAATAGGGAAATTGAAAGTAAATTGTTGGAATCGTAAGAAATCATCAATTTGAGTCAAACACATTTCTTGACGTTCAAAATTAATTAATGAGATTCCATCTTCATTTTTTACTTTTGGTTCATTTCCTTCAGTAATAAATGTTAAATCTTTTGTTACAACAGCAACAAATGGAACACATGCACCTTTAACATCTTTAATAAGTGAACGATAATTTTTATAATTTGAATTATTAACAAGTCCAAAATAACTTTCTAATATTTTCATTGTTTTTACACTTTGTTGAGTTAATAAATTACGTGTATTTTGTAAACGAGAAATTGGAGAATATGCTTCTAATCCAACATAAAATCCAGCTAAAGCTTGATAATTTTGTAATGTTAATAATTTATCTGCAATTGAAATAAATTTGTTCATTAATTTTGCTCTCATTTCAACATCAGGAAACATTAAAATCATAGTTCCTATCCAATGACTAATTTCATCAACTCGTGCTAACATTTTACATACATTTGGTGCTCTGTATTTCATTTTATCAAATGAACAATCAAATAATTCAGTTGGACGAACATTTTTATAAATCCCAAAATCAACCATAGTTAATTGTTTTGCAATTTCATAATCATCCATTTTTGATATAAATAAAGCTGGTGAACACATATCTTGTGATAAGAATAAATCAACAGGAGGAATAAAATAATTTGAAATTAATTGATTTCTTTCATATAACCTTTTATCAATAGTAGCTGTTAAACTTTTAAGTTGTTGATCAGTTTCTTCAGGTCTATTTAAAAATGATTTAATATATTCTAATAAACCTTGATTACATTCATCTAATGCATCACTACAAAAATATTTTAATGCAATAACTACTCTTCTTTTAATTAATGTTGCTTTATCTTTTGGAATATTATCTGGAACAAGATATCTTGTAATTAACAAATCAACAACTTCTTTTGCTTTAGCAAATGATGGAAATGAATAGAAAAAAGTTCTTCTAAAGAATAAATCACTAAAATCAGGTGAAGTTAATGTTTCAATAATTCTATTTAATGACCCTGCATTAATTGATTTTGAATCTTTTTTAGTAATAACTTTCGGTTTATCTGAAGATTCAATCTCACTCCAAAAATCATTAGTTCCCATTGTTAATTTTTCTGTTTCATTTTCACTAATTTTTCTTACTTCTCTTGCAGTATATACTTTACCAACATATATTTTTAATGAATTAACTAATGTAACTGTTATACTTCCTACTTCTACAATTTCTAATTTTACAATATCTTTACTATTTAATACAAATGGATTTTCTTCATCAATTTTTTCTTTTTTCTTTTTCTTTCCATTATCTTCTGTTTTATTTATTCTATTTCTAACGACATTACCAATACTAACTATTAATTGTGATACAATTGCACTTAATCCTTTTCCACTTTCATAAAAATCTCTTTCAATAAATCCAGCTCTTAATTGTTGTCCTTCTCCTTTTGCTGCTGAAAGAACATGAGAATTAATTTCTGGTTCTAATTTAATTTTATTTAATGTTGTAATAGTGGCTTTATATGTTTCAATATATTTCTTAAAGTTTTCATCATTACATTCACAATGACTTACATATAATTCCATTATTTCTTGTGTTATTTCCATTAATGTTGATGCTTTTGCTAATACTGCTTCAACTGCACTTTGAAATTGTGAAATATATTCTTCTATTTCTGGTCTTGCTACTGCTAATGATGCAAAACTTAATGCGTCAATTACAACTGATCCAACTACAGCTGCTGAATCACAAACAAGACCAACAAGAGTATCATAATTTTTTACTTTTTCTTCACCTAATCTATTAACTTCTTCATCAATAGTAATTTCATCAAATCTAGGTAACAATTGTGTATGAACATAAAATCGTGTATTACTTTTTTGTTCTACAATAACATCTTCATCTACACTTTTTAATACTCCTCCAACTTTAATTGGTCGAGCGTCTTGATAATATTTATTAATACAACTTGATATTTGGTCAATAATTTCTTCTTTATTTAGTCCTTGTTCTTTAGCTTTCTTTAATGTTTCTGTTATTGCTTCTGTTCCATTTCCTCCATTAATAGAAACACTATCTCCACTTAATTTTGATGATGCAGTAAATGAAATTACATTATTTTTTTTCTTTCTAAATGTTAATGATAATGAATGTCTGTCAAGTCTTTTTTGTTCTATTCTTCTTGACCTTGATTCTCTTATTGGTTCTTTTTGTAATTCATTTCTTAATGTTTCTATAGCACTAATTTCTGCTTGAAGCATTTTCTTTTCTTCTTCAGTAATTTCATCACCAGCAAGTGCTTTCATATTGATAGACCTCATTTTCTTATACTTTTCTGATTGTAACAAAGACACTTTTAATTTTAATGACTGAATCTCATCTTGCATTTGTTGAAGTTTTTCTTCTTGAAGCCCCAACATGTCTCTATCACCCACTAAATGGTATTTCAAGTTGTTTCTTCAAAAATTATTTTTAATTATTTCTTTTATTATTCATTTTACTATTTTAATTTTATTTTCCCTTTTTTCGATAAAATTTCTATTTTAATTACTATTTTTAAGTTCTTCTTTTTTTTTTCTTTCTCAAATTTAATAGTTTCTTCTTTCTTTTTTATTTGTACTATTGCCATTAAGATTTTATTTTTATTTTTATTTTGAGAGTTATTAATCCGATGTGTTTTAAACCTTTATTATTAATATCATTATTATTTATAATCATTAAATGGAAAATATTTTCTTTTAAATATAATTTATTCTTCTATAAAAAAAATGTTTTAATAACAAAATAATTTTTTTGAATTTCTTTAATATTTGAATGTGAAAAAACTTTATTTTGTTCCTTTAAAAAAACTTTGATTTAATAAACGTTGATATTGTTATACAAAAAAATTCTAAATTTATTTGTTAATCTTTTTGATAAAAGATTGTTTGGTATTAAAAAAATGACACTCCTTAACAAATATTTTTTATTTCAATATAAACTTATTGTTTTGAAACAGAATTTTTTATATCTTTTATGGCATTTTCAAGAGTTTCTTTATTTTCTACTTCTTGAAATAAACGAGGTTTTTTCCTACATAAGAAAATTTATGATTTTTATGAATATTTATTGACAATTATCTGTTAATAGAAAAATTAACAATAGAATAATTCCAATTTGAATAAATTCTATATTACAACAAGAATTTCTTTTTCTTTTATTTCTTAAATCAAATAAAAAAGTTTTTAATACAATAATTCCAATCATTATCAATTAAATTACTTTAAATCATTAAATTCCACTTAATATTTTCTTTTACTAAAAACTTTATTTTCAAATTGACACATAAAACTTTAACTAATAATTAATTTAAAATGACATTCTATTTACTGAATTATTTGAAGACATTGATTATTCAATAATAATGAATATTTTATTAAATATTAATTTAATAAAATTGGATTATTATTTTCTTTCATTCCAAAGAAATATATTAAAAACATTAAAATTAAATAAGATGTTAATTTAAAAAGAAGGAAAAATTAACTTTAATTTTTCTTGTATAAAACCCCTCCTTTAATACTTAACCATTTAGCGACTTTTTGTGCAAGATTAGTCATGATGTTATATGATTCTATTAAATAAGAACAGTTATTTATTATAAATTTTAATACTATAAAAACAAACGAGATAATTCATTTGAAACAAAACGTTCACCATTGAGTTGGACTGAAGAAAGTAAGAGAATGGAAACAGCCTGGAAAGTTATAACAACTAAAATAAATTCATGAAGTTGATAAGAACCAAAAATGAATAAATAACATATCACAAGTTGTGATATTCCAGACGAAACTGCTACAATATAAAATTGAGTTGAAAGTATAACGATAGTTGGAATTTTTATAACTAAGAAAATACTAACTAAATGTTGGAAAATTGCCAACAACGGTAAGTAGATTGGATATGTCATAAAAAATAAAAATGATTGGATGAATGTCAATATCCAGACAAATATTGTTATTCCTTTGGCTACTCCTGGATTTCTATCACATAATACTCCAAACATATACATTAAACATCCAAAACATCCTAATTCAGCAATACAAATACTGAAAAATGCAAATCCATAATTTAATAAAAATTCACTTACTAAACTGGCGTTTGGTAATTGCATTTTATTTTTTGTTTTTCTTTTTTTTTCCCTTTTTTTTTAGTTTTTTTATTTGATAAGTAATTTTTCTTAACACATTCTCTTCAATAATACTTTTGAATTGTGTTAATATTTTTTTTATTTCAACTGGATTATTCTTTTTTTTATAAAAGAAATAATAAAAGAATATCAAAATTCATTATTTTCTCATTTTATTATATAACATAGCTCTATCATATAATGTCATTAAAGAAATTGTAGTACAAATTCAATTATAACATAGACCATTATATTTCTTGTCTGTTTATCATCTCTTGTTT